AGGGTCTCAGACTCAATACATATCTGCACTCTGCGCATAGTCTACCCTTTTTTTTTTCTCGGTCTCACTACTGCATATTTATTTATTTTTCCACAACATATTTATTGTTAATGTTGTCTACATTGTGCAGTGTTGTCTGTTGTACTGTGTATGTCCAGAGAGATCAGCGCAATTAAGAATTCTAATCTACGTGTACATATGGCAATAAACTACTCTGCTCTACTCAAATAAAAGAAATAGGTTTTTAAGTTACCCATTTTCTTTGTAAGGGGAATTCCTGGAAGAATAAAGTAGTTTGTGTAGTTTATAGTTTCTGGAAAACTATGTATGAATGTAAACTGTGTGAAATAAGAGACGTACTTGCAGAGTTGAAGAGTGTCACTTAGGTGCAGTTTTTCTTAAAATGGAAGGTTACGAAAAATGATTGTCCTCAAATCCATCTTTATATCTCATGCTATACAGCCCATACTTTTCATTTCACACTCTTTGCTTTTACGCATATTTATAGTCACAAGGGATATAGACAATGTTTTTCATGGTGTGTTACATGTACATACAATATAAATTTAAAGGAATATGATTTTAAATTAGGAAAAAGCATAAGACACATACTGTAGTACTACAACATTATGGGGTACACCAGACCAGAAGTCAGTGACCTTTCAGAGGTGGCCTGCCAAGAGTTAACTTCTGTTTACAGAACTGTGTGCCAGTTAATGTCAATGACAGTTTTGATTAATTAAAATGCTTTATTAAATTAAGATGCATATCATACCATTTAGTGAGATCCTTTCATTTGCTGAGTTCTTCAGTCTCAGGCTTGTAGTTTGATACTTTATTAAGCAGCACACAAGCCTTTGAGTGTTCAGTTCTTAACCACCTCCAGAAGGGAAAAAACTGGCATAAGGGAAATGTACTTGTTTATAGAGGTATGTAGGTCCACATGCAACTTCTTACTTATTACGATGCAGTCTCGGTTGCCTCAAGTCTGAGCTGCAGATCTTTAAACCTTGAGATCCAGGTTTAGTTTTGTGCATTGTGATTCAGTGAGCTGTATTTTTGAAATCCTCAAAACCTATCCACTAAAACACTGTCAAATCCACGTTGCTGATATCAAAGTTGTAAATCCTGAAATCTGACAGAAACTTCTGATGTATGGTTTGCGCATTCCAGTCTCGGCAGCATTGCCAGTGTAATGTTTTGACAGTTCCTTAAGATGTCGGAACGTTGAGGTGTCGATGTCCTGAGACAAAAGTGTCAAGTTTCACAAGAATTGCCTTCCAGAAACAGTCTGGTCTGCAACCTACACAGACTTCATTCAGTGATGTCAGGTAGAAACATTAGGCGCGTAACCTATTTTTCATCAGGCAGGTTGGGAGAGTTTTAACCTTCTTTGGATAAAAAGGTTTTGGTTGCATCAAGACAGTTCACAAAGCATGCCAAAACCTTCCCTTGGCTAGGGCAGCGGACATTGCTGTGAAGCGGAGTGTCCATCACTTCAAGCAGAGTTTAAAACTGCCCAGGCAGATTGAGTGACAGGAAAATTCCCGACTGCTCTGTTGTTTGTTACTGTTATTACTGTTACTTATTCTGGAGATGATTGTACCAATATGGAGTAAACCAATATTGGTGACAAAAAAATCTGTACAAAAGTCCCCTTTTGTACATTTCCCATCTGTAAATAGTTTGTAAATATATATTTAAATATATATTATATATTCTTCCATCTCTAAATAGCTATCAATGTTTTGCAAACATTTTTTTTTTATTTTAGCTGCGTTCTGTGGCTTGATTTTTCCTGACACAGGAGCTGGTAAAGAAATGTCATGACTTTCCATACCTCGCTATGGCCCATTTAATTCACTCAGCCTTGTCTGCCTCGTCCTTTGTCTGAAAATATCGACACTTGACGCGCAACATCATTTGTACAAACACAGAGCACCAACAGAACTTATCTCGTTACGTTGAACAAATTTATATTCATCTCACCAATAGGGCAGAATAGGGTGACCTTGTATCTTTTCTTTCCTCGGACCAACCATTTTGTCCACATGAAAGTGAAGGTGCAAAAACAATTCAAACCTATTCATTTAATTGGGGAGCATCATTTAGAAATTGACAGAGCAGTCAATCATCGTTTTTATGGTTATTTGTTTTACTTGCTCCGTTTGCTGCTAATTATACTTTTATCGCACATGACGCTCATGATCCCTGACTCTAACACAGAGTACATAATATGGGAAAGGAGAACATATTGTTGACGTGTCTAGCTCATAATATAGAAAAGGAGGACTTATTATCTTTTTGAGCAAACTGAAATCTTTATTATTGTTTCCATACATTGTTGAGGCAGGCTGGTAAAGAATTATTCTTGCTTTTGTTTATGTTGGATGATCGCAACACTGTTTTATGATCTCTTCAGTTTAAATTTAATTTCTGGTCCTGTTATTTCACCATGTTTTTGTAATGGAATAATTTAGTAGCCTTTAGCTTTCCAAAATCGGATTCTTCAACATTTTTATTAAATTACACAGCACTTAGAGCAGGTTGTTTAAAGAATGCTTCTGTAGTGAGTCTCCAAGCATTTTGGTATGGCAGAATCTTTGCCAGTATGTTTTATTTTATTTCAGCTCCTGAAATGAGGTAGGCATTTTGCTTTTTGTAAACCCAAAGTACAATGTCTTCTTAAAAAATATTTAAAGAATGAATCTATGTTACTTATTTTTAAAATGTTTTGTACATTTCCCATTTGCAGCATTTCTTGGGTTTATTACCTGTGTAGTGGAATTATTTTTAAAGAGATTTTTCTTTCTATCAAAGCAAGAGTTGACCACCTTTGTCTTGTCTTTTTAGACAAATGCCAGAAAGCAACACATTTTTTAGACACTTCATCTACTAGTTTTCTTCACACACAACCAACGAAAAGACTTTTCAACAAACAGAGTGATTTAAAGTGTGTAAATATATTGTATGCTTTGTAGTAAACGAAGGAAGGTAAAGTACCAAAACGTTTTGTAGACTGGAGTCTTGTGTGTCTCTGGTGAATTCTCAGTAAAAGACAGTTACTGTAAACACTGTTTAACTGTTCGGCAACATTACAAGCATTCTCAATTAACTGCAGAAGATAAATGTGATTGTGAAAAGATTGCCATTGCACTTTTGCATGTGTCAGTGCCATACAGTTGAAAGGCTGTCTGCTGATTTATTCCTTGTATCATTCTGTGTGATACACCGCATCGCCGTATAAATGATTTGTCTACCTAGTCATGATGGGTCACAAATATTTACTGTACCTGTCCAGAGAGACAAAGTGAGTTGTGCGGTTTTAGATTAAAAAATAAAAAAGACAAAGAAGTGTAGTCTAGCTGTCATTTAAGGAATACATATTCATGCGGTTATCTTTTATACTAAGATCAATACAACCAAATAAAAGTGCTGCTGTATATTTCCAGAGCATTTCATCAGCTCTGTGTATAATGGTCTTTGAGGTTATTACTTAACCTTGACACAAAGGTTACTTGTGCTCACTGCCTTGCTAAAGTAAAAAAAATAAAAATGTATTTCATTTTAGCCAGTATCCCTATACGTCTAGGGATCCACTTGCATAATGACTTGTAATATGAAACAAATTAAACTTTGTAATCTTACGTTGATGTAACCCAGCAACACTGTTAAAATAATTTGTTCAGAACTGCTTTTCAAAATTAATCTAAGACCAAGGAACTAAAACCGTTTTAATCATTCATTGCAACAGAGTAGAGTAGGCGTAAAAAGCCTCCCCTTATACTGTAAGTACAATGGTTTTACTGGACTTTTATTAATCACAAAAAAAAGAATGCAGTATGGGATGTGTTTTTTACCAGTGTTTTACTGCAGGGAGGATATCTGATACTGTAATTGTGTTGTGATATATTCTCAGCAATTCTCCTTTTTTGCAGCTTATTTGAGAAGTTAAAATACATTAATATCAATAAACTAATTGCTTATTATTTCCTTGCTAAAGTGGTAATGCTATAATCAAAAATCAATCAATGATAATACATTAAAGGCCCAAAGGAATTGAACTTCCAGGAACTGGAACGTTAATTCTTACTGAAAATCTCTGCCTTTGAAATAAAATACAGTACCTGCAAAAATATGACACTGGTTACAGCTGCACTTCTCTGTACTGTATGTGAGCTGTATCTACTGTCAGGTTTTTGCAGGTGCTGTTTCTAAGTGGTTCTTTTGTCATTATGTGATGAATATAAATAGTTCTGGAATTTCTTGAACACATTAGTAATAAAAATATCACTTATAATAAATTGGTTTATTTGCTTTGTTCTGTTATGTAAGAGATTATCTGGAGGAAGCTAGGATTAAAAAACAATAATGCTTCAGACGTTTGTCCTGCTATTTTGCGTATTCAGCATGGTGACAATCTGTTAAGTATAGTGCAGAATTATGTAGTTTGTTATTTTTTAATATGTTTTCCTACATTTTGTATCTTATTTATCACACATCCAGACTAAAAACAATTTTTGGGACTCTTTAGTGGAGGCAATGTACAAAAAGTCACGTGCATATTTCATAGAACAAGCACAAAATTGTTGGTTTGAATCCATGCATTGACTGTCTTTGCTTTGGTTCACCATAAATTATCTTACACAATAATACCTGCATCTTTTCCATATGGTGAATATCGTTGCCAGTTTAACTAAGCAAGTACAAGACCAAAAATCCAGAAAGAGCATTGTAATTCTCTCATGTCAAACATGAAATAATTTAAACAAAAACGGTCTCTTCTGTTGTTTCAGAGCTGAAGCTGTTGCAACAGCCCACATTTTCTTTATTAAATGTCATAGTCTTATAGCTATAACCCTAGGAAGTTGTTAAAACAATTAAAGGCTCTTGGCTGTTAGCGCATGGAATGGTTACCATAGTATCCTCTGCATCCTAGGCTTCAGTGATGATGTCAGTGAGCGTGCTGGGCTAATTCTAAGCATCTCTCTCTATGCCAGTGACTCACTCCTAGCAGAAGATCAGAAGTCTCCCCTCTCGGTTCATTGTAGCCGTTTGCTGTGGTTTAAGGCACAATGTGTCAGCTAGGTAAGCTACTTATGATAGAATTATTCCTATGTGCTTTTCCTGTTCAAAAGTCATTTTAGGATCTCTTTTTGCAGGAAGAGGCGTGATGATATTTATTTGAGTTCTTTTTTAGAACGATTTGTTATGGTAGTATTTCACTTGCTTATATAAAGTTATCTGAAACACATAGTTAGTATGTGTTACAGTACTTCTGCTACAGATATTAAGCTAGGGTAAAGTGTGCTTTTCGTGTTTATGATTGTATTAAACCGTAATGAATGAAATGCTGTTATTTTCATGGGAACAGCAGGTGCTTGTTCTGTACTGTCTGCATTAAGGACTGATGTAGCAGTCTACAAAATTGATTCATTTCTTGTGTGTGTGTGGAGCATCAATAGCAGCTGATTCAACACAGAGGTTTCCTGCATGGATTTAATTGTGCGATTGATTGATGCTTGTTTTTTCTCAGGTTTGAATTTGATTGCAGACTGCTGAAGATCAATAGAAAATGTGTGCTGTAGATGTTTTAATGACATCTCATTTTATTATTTGTGAAACTTTTTAAAATAAAAACAGTGGTCAGGGGAGTGATTTTAAAGTAGCTATTTGGCAATAGGGGTAATGTTAAATTGGCTCATTGTTTTTTTTTAATGCACACTGTATTACTAGTGTGTAGTTATCGTTTATAATTATTCTGGTTAGAAGAGTTCCTTGTTAAAAGAGTTGTGAATTTATCTTTTAAAACATTACATTTCAGAAATATTTTTAAAGAAAGTATTTTAAAAAAAATGAAAAATAAACCCATTTTAGAACACATACTGTATACAGTAGCATATTATAAACATCCGAAGTGACTCGACATTTCATTACAGTCAATTATGCTGATACCACTCAGATTTGAATGTGCTTATGTCACAGTTGACTACACATTTTAACCAAATGAATGCATCATAAATATTCAGTTAAAAGACAGCAGGCATGAATCCTTAATTCGATCGTAGTTCCTTACAAAGCAATTTTTTTTCTGCTTTATAGCCTACTCTTGAAATTCTGCCTGACTTGTACCAATGCAATTAATCTGTTGTGTTTTAAAATCCGACATGCTTTTATGGGTTTGTTTATTATGCAGGTTTTGGGCTGTATGCTTTTTACGCTATTCTTTAAAAGTTTATTTTCTCATACATTCTTTTTTTCGTATTTCTAGATCCTGTTAAAAACATGAAACTGTTCAAGCTTTTGTCATTGCTGTACAAGCTAAGTAACTATTTAAACAGATGTTACAGGAAGGTCTTGGCTAGAGGCTCCATCATAATGACGTGATGCAAGTTAATAGCTTAAGACTAGGAGGATAAATTAGAAAGATGGCAACACATCTCAGTGTTTGCTATAACTTCATTTTCCTGTTGGTGATGTAACATAGGCTGCAGTCAGGTTATGTCATTTATGCAGAAAAGGCCTTGCATTTATTGTGGGAATACAACTTGTTTATTTAAACATAAAATAAATCATGATGGTACAGTACATTGTTTTGTTGAATTATAACTTAAGCATTTTAAATGCACAACACATATTACATTTAATGCAGTATTTTTAAATTTGAAATGGCCATGTTTAGTATTGCATTGTCTCCTTATACTACAGCTTGAAAATGGATATCATACATGGACAGCTGTGTCACCAATAGATGTATCCTTGTGTCTTCTGTTTGCAGCCCGTTAAGTGTAATAGGTAAAAGTGATAGTAAGATCTGTAGGACCAATTGACTAATTAACAATATGTGTGATCCAATTTACTTTTACTTTATACAAACTTTTTTTTCTTTTTAATGAAATCAATGTAAGATTTTTTAATTCTTTCTTAGTTTTATATCTTCAAAGAAAAAACTGATGTAGCTCATACTATAAAACATTAGCCTTATTTTCTTGAAAGTAAAAAGGAAGAACAGCAGCAGTAGTTTAATAGATAACTGCCTGCTATACCAGGCTGCTGTCATCTTTTTTTCATGATTATTTTTTTACAATACATATATTTATTAATTCATCTGGCATCTTTCTGGGCTCATTACATACTAGTTAAAGCTAGTTATAGGATGTCAGAACTAGTTACTTGCACAATTCAATTGAAATATGTCAGTTTGGTATTGTTTTATGAAAGATGCTGACATCTACTGTATGTTCTGGAATTCATGTGTTTTTTCTATGTAATAAACAGCATTTTTTTCTCTTCTCTTTAAATTACTGTAATTGGTTCAATGTGTTGCTTTGGATGTAGATGGATCGATTTGACTTAATAACATAATAGCAGGGAGCTTGAAAAAGCATGTGCTAAACATCACCACCTGTTGTTGCAAGTATGCAAATAAAGCACCTGTAATGTTATTTTCATTGCACAAACTTTTGACAAAATTCTAACTTCCAAGATGTCAGCTTGTATTCATCTCGGCAGGGGTGTGTCCTCAGGCTGGTGTCACTCACAGATGCAGCACAAACACCAGCTGTAGGCGTTTCAATAAAATCAACATAAAATCAACATTAGATAAATGTGTTTCTCTAGAAGCTGTGATTGACATTAAACATACATAAAGCTTCATTTGTCACAGACATCCTAATTGCTTTCTAAGATCAAGACAAGCAGAGGGAGGCTGTTGGTTCCAGCATTACATTACTGTAGTGGTACGTTGGGGGAATGTATTTGAACCTATATCTTGTAATTATTGCTGCATGAATTAAGCTAAGGAGATACAGTAATCACATATTTTATTACAGCTGTTTTAAAAAAAAGCTGAACTCCTACAAAAAGGGACAATGAATGCTGTGTTTGTGATGTTTTGTTGACATATCCAGGCATAAACCAACAAATTCTCAAGAGCCACTGTGCTGTCTTGCCATGATGCAGTGTGTTTGTTGCACAGCATCTGAAGAGCGAATGTTGTAGCAAATAACTTCTCCTTTCCACTATGGTTCTGTCGTGCGACAAGACATGCTGTCTAGCCAATCACTTTAAAGCTATGCAGCGTGCTTTGTGAGCGTTTGAAATCTCGATGAGCGTGACGTTTGAAAGTGATGTTGGACTGTATTGCCTTACCTGACCCGACAAAACAATGTGCAGTTATGTCTGCTTTTTGAAGTCTGCACTGTTTTCAGTGTGCTCTTACTTTTATCATTTAAAAAAGTAGCCATAGATTTCAAATATGCTAATTAATTAAACATGCAACCCGGAGATCAGAATAAACATACTTTGGACAAAAGCAAAGATAAACCATTGCATTTCTGGGCACATCCTGTAAAGTCTAAGGCCATGTAGATACAGTATTTAAACATTTATTTTTAATTAGCTGTCTTTTTGTCTTGAATACCATGAATTAGGACTACCCAATCATTTGTGTTTCCAGTTTTTGTAAGCTAGAAAAAAATACAACCTAAAGTAAATTAAGTAGTCAGTATATCCAGCCCTGAGGTCATCAGGGTTGGAAATTCAAAAGCTGTATTCTCTGTCAGAGGCATCATTAAGCAAGTTGAATGTTCTATTCAGCCCGCAAGTGAAAGCAGGCAATTAAAGTGAGAGAAGACAAAGACTCTGTCTGCAGTATAGATTGCATGTGGGCGGGAGAGATGTTAGATTTTCCATGTTGTTGTCAAGTTAACCTTTCACCTTAAGAACTGAGCATACAATTTGGTCCTGGTTTTAAAAAGGTTTATTAGTTGTGGGCATGGTGGTCTCTGCTTCACAGGGTAAGGGAATGAAATGTATTTCAAAACATCAGAGATTGTGTTTTTGTAAAAAAGTGGGAAATGAGTTTGACCAACAATCTAATTGGCGACTGATGTACTGTATGAATACTGTGAAAACAGGCTAGTGTTTACATACGTTAATAAAGGAAAACTCAACCATTTAGTAAACAATAGTGTTCCCCCTTTTAGTGGCAAGGTGCTCATTATCTACTATAGATGGCAAATTATTGATAGAATAGAATATCAGGACGGAGGGTTTTGGGAGGCTACCCAGTCATGGTGTTGAAAGTGATACATTGCTTCTTTCAGTAAAGGGCTGGATGAAATCCTCTGTAATTAATCAGTTAGTCTCTGGCTACCCAGAGGTTTAGAATGACCAAACGGCCACTTCTTTTTGCATCTTTTTCATGCCTCTATATTTAATCCTCCTTTCACCTCTATCATGTATTAATTCCTCGTTTCACTTCTGTCTTGTTCTCTTCATGACTGCGAGTCTCCATTATTGGATATTTATGCATTGTGTAACCTGGTAGATATGGATATTACAGTGCTTGATTTTATACATGAATCGTTTTAAGATTCTGATCCGTGTATTTGTAGGTATAACAGAAACAGAAACCTTTTCAAGTATATATTTTATAGTATATAAAACATTTTTGCATTTGTGCCTTCTTTGCAGTATTTACAGCTTTCAAAAGCGTACTCTGATAATTGATGTAGGTAAGTATGCACAGCTACTGTAGGTGTCATAGCTTTAAAATGTCACCACAGCTAATCATCGCTGCAGTAATCTTGTCAATGTAGAGAACTGTTGTGTAGAGAATTGTCTTATGCCTACAGTAATTGTCATGCTTCTCTACTTTAGTTATTAGATGCCTAAATACTCGTGCTGACTAGCGAGCCACATCTAGTGTTATCAAAAATAGTTAAAGAAACTCTAGATTAAGCATAGGACGCCCTTGTTGAATGACAGTGGTTCAGTGCTGAATGGTGAAGTACTCCGCCAGCAGCCCCTTCCTTGTCCTGCCTTAAGCAATTGCAACGTAAATTTTTTTTCATGAATTTGATGTCTGCAAGTGCTGTCTTCGTGCACATCTAAACCTAAAGAAAAACATATTTTCAACGAAACAAAGGAAAATAACTGTGGTCAGTTAAGCCATTGTTGTATCCCTTTGAACATTTATGATCAGCAGAAACAAAGTCCTAACGAGACATGAGCACCGACCCTGCCTGACTTTAAAACAGACCTTCATAAAATGTCACACATCATATCCTTGTATTATAGTGTGG